AAAATTTAAGTTTTTACTTGTTTATATCTTCAAGATATATTCCAAATGCATCACCCAAATGTGCCAGGGAGGAGGAAGTATGGAATTACCAAAGCTTTCCCAGTTTGGCAGCCTGAGCTCAGAATCTATTCACCTGGTGTTGACTTTCTTTGTGAAAAAGAAATTTTGCATCTTCAGAAACAAAGAGAGTAAAAATATCTGGGTAGGTAATTGGCCTCCCATGCAATACACTGAAATTTGTGGAAATATTTCTGTTGACTTCCCTGGAGTTTGAATCAGCTCTTTAATGCAATTATTTGTTTAAAAACAAATTAATTGTTTTCTTAACACAGTTCATTCTTGGAAAACTATTGCTGTGATTCACTGATTCTTAGCTCGACACGTGGAGCTGGTGATTGACGTGGTGCTACTGTGCTGGGTACAAGGGCTGAACCAGGACGTGTCGAGAGAAATAATAATACTGCAAGCTATGTCTCAGCATAATCTCTGCTGTCACGTGTCATGCCTTGCCTGCCATCAATCCATGTTACAAACCCAGAGGTCCAACCAGAGTTTACAGAATTAGCTCAGGTCAGCTTTTCACTTACCAGCAGTGATTTACAAAGAAGCTGAAAACAGTTGGGGGCGCTTATTTCTAGTCTCAACATATTTTGCTGTGAAAATGGCCAAACATGGGATCAGCTTAAGTTTAAGTTTTATGCTGATGTGTCATTTGCTTTAGAAGTTTGGGTACCCTGCAGTGTTAAATCAGGACTACAAGCTTTTCTGTCCAACATTGTTTTTTTAGTACTTGTTTCAACTGTATTGCTCTGAGTTCTTGATGTCAACAGCTACACTTTTTCATCCCTGGAAACTTGATGTTTCCAAGTTCTGTATCTGAAGACTACACTTCAGCACAGGTCAAAACAAGTACCCAGTATCTGTTGACATTTTATCTCCATCTTTCCCATATTTTTGGATCTGATACCTGGCTACTTCACACCTGAGCACATGTATCCATCCTGTTTTCTTTTAACCACCCCTGTCGTTACACAACTATGCCAGTTCTGTCTCCTCTTGCATCACCACCAGGCCACAACAGATTCGATTTTGAGAGACAAAAGACTTCAGAGAGCTCAGAACCCTATCTCTATCAGATAGTGCAGTCTGTGTAGCATTCAGATCCTGCACAGATAGGCAAGGCCAAACTTTCAAAGATGCTGATCTTACTTGCATATTTGCGACAGGTGTGGCGAAGTTGCTGATAACCACTAACCTGAGATATTGCTTGTTTTGGCTGGATCACCTTAATTGTCCTGCATATTTTGGTGTCTTGCTTGTTTTCTCATGAATCTGTTGTCCATCTCCATCCCAACCTTTCCTTTCCCAGAGGAGTATGCCAGAGGGAGTGTCTGATGATCCTCATCCACTGTAGCTCCAATTAACTGCTACACTCACCGTGCCCAGAGTTATTTTGCAAATTTTGAGCCATGTGTTAAGTTAGGTCAGAATTTTTTAACAGTGTTTGTGCCTCCAAAATGTGATACTACTTCCAAGAATGAGGAGAGGCACACATTTACACATGCACCACCTGTGAGTGAGTTTGGATTGTTTTTTAAGGAGAGGAAGTCCACTGTTTTCCCACAGCTAAGGCACACAGTCTGTTTCGCAGCAGAATTATTTTTCAAGGATGTTCTTCCTTTTCCTATTTTACAACCTCTGATTGCACATCCAGAGCTTTGGCTTCCTCTCCAAGCAGCTGCCTTGCCAAGGCATTTGAATTGTGAGTTGGAATTTCCAATGTTTGAAATTAGGAACTGGGCTAAAGCCATTCATCAAAGCCTTTGGGTAGTAGTGATTTGTAAGAACTATGGACTTGGAACAAACATGAGTTCAGTTTCTGTGGGTAAAAGAATCGAACCCAGCAAATATTCATATTGCTTGATGACTTTTAAGGGAGCATATAACACATAATGCCTGACAAACAGCTGAGACTAAGTCCTTCAAGAATGATCAAAATGCTCTTAAGGTATGTTGTGTCAATGGGGATCATGGATTTTATAGATCCACTGGAGAAACTACAGTCACATTCAAAGAGCTGCTGCAATTCTCCTCGACTGTTTCACTGAACACTTAAAATACCACTTCCCCCACCTCCTTTTTTTTTTTTTCCCTTAACACCCCCCCTCACTCTCCCCCTTCAAACTCCTCAGGTAATTAACTGGAAATGAGCCAGTTGCAGTATTGTCAAAGGTCTAACACCCATCAAACCCAGGAAACTCAGGCTCCTTGAGCGCTCCCCTGCTTAGCCTGTGCTGTTGTGCTGAAGGTATTACTGGGGTCTACAAAAAGTGCTCCATCATATATACTGTACCATATGTTCCCAAATACCAACACACAGCAGCATGACTTAGGGATAGGATTTCAGCCTTCATAATGAAGAGTCTTGCTTTTATGAGTTCGAGTCAGACCCTTAACGTTATTTTAACATAGATTTTGGTGTTTAATTATGTAATAAGATTTACTGCAGTCATCTAACAGATGTTGATTCAGGGTCAGTGTTTCTCATAAATTAGTTCTGAAAGGATTTGTTACTTCTGGGTCAGCAGATAGGTCCAGAGTGCAAAGAAAAAGGAGAAAAACAATAAACACTGAGTTGAAGGGTTTCTTGGGATTCTTTCTTCAGTTACATATCCACATATTTTCATGATCTTAATGACTATAGCCACAGGAATGTTTGCTTTAACACTAAAGATGGCTCAGGCCAAAACCCTATATCCCAACATCTGCAAAGCATGGGAAAGTTCAAACTTCGGGGCTCTTTATTTTATGACCCTGGCTGTTAATTTTTCATACTAATATGACACATTTTTTCTAGGGCTCTGCAGAGGAAATCACTGTGAACTCTAGCAGCACCCCAAAAAGTTTCATCTTCATGTGCTTGTTGTCAGACCTTGTGTAAAAAGTACATCTAAAGACCAGTGTTGGCTGATGTAGTTGTCATCACACACATACACTGAAAAGGTGCACCCACCTTCCTTTGGAAATTCAGCCTTCCCACATCTTTGGAAGCAAATCATATTGGTACATCCTACTGCTAACACCCTGCCTGTGGTGTTATCTGTAATACAACTAAAACCACACAGCATTATAGTCATTCTTCTGTAACTGTGGTAAAAGGAGCTATTCCATATGAGAGTGTTTTTCCCTCCCACCTATAATTTTGATGCAGACAAATTCCTTTGAGACTGAAATCACACTCTTAGTATCTTATTCTATTAGGAGCAGTTTAGAGGAAAGGGATTGAGGCACATTTAATAGTGTTGCTAGCACTTCCAGGCCAGTTTTAGCCTGCCAAATGTTTTACAGACACTGGTGAATATTCACAATATTCTCCCATGTCAGGGTATGAGACACTGAACAATCTCCCTGAGGCTTATGAGATGTTTTAGCTAGAGATGCAACCGCTCAACCTATAAAACCATTTGCTGAACTTAATCACCTTTGTCTTGGAAAGTTTAGAGGTTTCATACCTAAAAAACTCTCTAAGATGAATCCCAGCTATGACTAAGAGCTCTGAAGTATTTCCCTGAACAGCAATCACACAGTGGCAAACTGTGAGCCCTGGACTCCTCACAGAGGGGATGTGAGAGAGGAGGAAGAGTCCATGGCCAGCAGCTGAATCTTGGCCAGCAGAGCAATGCTGAACCTGCTCCATGCTTGGACATAGCCTGGTTCCCACAGCCTCCCCACGCTCTGTCCCTGAAACAGAGGAGATCCCCACGAGTGCTGATGTACATTTGTACTGTGCAGCACTGTAAATTTAAATAGCACTTTCCAGACTCAGGCTTGAAACTCCTCTTTTTCAGGAGTAATTCCCTTTAAGTCAATGGATTTACACAATGGATTTACTGCTGCCAGAAGAGAATCAGGCCTGTAGAAAGACAAGCATTCTTTGCCAAGGAAATCTCAGAGCTAACTACTTGAATTGTGCAGTCAAGCTGCAGAGAGGTCAAGTGGACAGACGACAGGACTGGGACATATAGGAAGTCTCTGGTTCAAACCTCAGCTCTTAAAATGTCATGCAGTGTGACCTTGGGCGAGTCAGTTCATCCCCTTATACCTCTGTTTCCCCCTTTTCCTTTGTCCAACTTGTCTATTTAATTTGGAATTTGTTCCAAGAAGGGTGATTTGCGTCATGTGTCGGGCTGGGGCACTGACACCTCTCCTCCCCCTTGCTGGAGGACTGTCTTGAAGCCTTTGTTTCCTCCCAGCACTGACCCCCTGCTTCCGTATCCACAAGCATGAGACCATCAGCTGTCCATCAGGAGACAGGCAGACCTGTCACTCGGAGGGATAACGCATCATTCCCACACTGTCCTGGGAGGATTCTGGCACTCCTTGTTATTTCACAGTCAGGGTTGGGAGGTGAAAGAAGGTCCTCACTTTGAACATTTGCCTCACAGCCCTGAGCACTAAAGATGGTTTAACATGAAAGCTCTGACCCTTCGGAGAGGAGCCGCGAGCCTGTGATGAATTCAGCTGGCACCAAAGCTGGGTGGCTGGCAAGGACTGGAATCTGTGTATATATGTGTGTGGGTATGTGCGTGTGCCTGTGTAATTTTCAGAAGCAGAGCAAGGCCAAGAACCTGCACTCCTGAAAAGCCCCATCTGTTTCTTTCAGCTCCTTCCCACAGCAGCTTGGTCGTTATCGGTGGCAAATGTCCAGAGTCACTTGTCAAGCACAAAGCTGCCAAAAATCATTAAAACACAGCAGTCTTCCGCACCCTGTACCAGCCAGCTGCAAAACTGTTTCAAAGGGATTCTGATAAACACATGTATGCTTATAATAGCCCAGATAAAGTAATGTATTTCCTACGTGCTTTAATGAACCGAGTGACAGCGTGAGATGCTGCAATCAGATATTCTTGCCCTTTTCTGTTGTGGCAACTCTCAAGCATGTTTGATGGCAAGAGGAAAGGGAACAAAGCAGGTGGCTAATGGGCTGTTTTCTGTTTCAGTGGAGCATGATAGAGAGTTTCACCATCAGCGCTGCCACTACCGAGAGTTCAGGTTTGACCTCTCCAGAATCCCAGAGGGGGAAGCGGTGACGGCTGCCGAGTTCCGGATATACAAGGATTACATCCGCGAACGCTTCGACAACGAAACGTTCCAGATTAGCGTCTACCAGGTCCTCCAGGAGCACCCGGGGAGGTGAGTGGGTGGCTTTGGCACCAGGTTTATACAGTGAAATCTCAGCACGCAGCTGCCATGTGTGGTGACACAGGGAGAGGTCCCTGTGAGCCTCCAGGTGCCCCAAGGAGCATTCCCGGCACTCTCACCCCTGGGAGCACTCCAGTAGCCGAGGAGCCAACAAGCCTGGCCATGTGCTGGTGCAGCAAAACATCATAAGCTCGGAGTATTTCAAGATTCCTGGAAGTCCTCCCCACTTCCTCCTACTGCTTATGGATCCTGAAGTGACAAAACCAAACACTTCCTTTCGAGTTGTAGCTTAATTGCTAGCCTTTATTATCAAAGGCATTCGAGATCCCTAATTAACAAAGACAGATGACACCATGCTTTTTATACTGACTGATTGTTTTGGATGTGCAAAACTACAAGATGAGCTATTAAATCCATTCTGAGCAATTATTAATGTATGCCAAGCTTCCTGACAAATCCTCCAGGGAACTTGAATAAGAACATATGTTCAATTTTCTCATCTGTTTTTAGTTCCAATTAATCAACGATCCCAAACCATTTATCCAAGGCACTTAGTTTCATTTGCACATATTTCTCTTACATACAAATCCTACCAAAAGTGAGATTGCATTTATTTACATGAAAAGTATTTACAGTCACATTCTAGTCAGAAGTTATTCTTTAGGACTACTAAATATGGGCTAATAATACTACAGTCCTAATTTAGGTTTATGAAAAGGGAAACACTAGGGATTTTAAAAGGGGAAAGTCCAAAAGAGTAAGAAAAAAAAGGTGTAATCAGGACTCTGGTTTTATAGTTTTATAAGCACTAATAAAAATGCAGGAAAAAAAATTGAAATATGACAGGAAACCTTATCAATGCTTTTTTAAATGGTGAGAATTTCTACTGGCTTTGCTGTATGGTAAAAATATTTAACCACTGGTGTGTTTTCTTCCACATCTGACATTCTAATTTTATAGCTTAAAACTCACAGTTCTCCTGGCATTTCTAGCGACACAATTATTTACAGGGTTTGGGGAATGTGCTAAAATGAATCTATTTTTATCAAACAGCAACAATTCAAACTAAACATTTTAACCAGGTTTTCCTTAAAGAAGAAGGCAACAAGTCACAACTGTGCACAGGACCCATTAGGTGTCCTGCTTACCATAAGCATTTCAGTTTGTTCTCTTTTAAGCCCTTCCAGAAGTAGAAGCCTCCCTATGCTGTATTTCTTAAATAGGTTATTTACAAGCCTGCAGGAATAACTTTTCATTCTTGGGAAGAGCAGAAACAATACATATGTTGGCAGAGGAAGAGGCACTAACCAGTGTGCCAGGGTATTAGGGAATGCCAGAAACCTGTTCTTGGAGTAAATGACCTTCCTCACCAGATGCCAGGGAAGTTTTCACTCAGATCCTAAAGTGTGAGGTAGGTGCCCACTAGGAATCTTACTGACAGAGTCAGGATGATATTTAGTATCTTAATTTTGCCATGGTACATCCACAGGTTGGTTACAACTCTGTTGATGGAGAATAGCAAGGTACCACTGGGAACAGTTGTGTGGAGCAGCAAGAGTTTCTGCAAACTGTCTTCTCCACAAATTCTTATTCCTAAAGGACAAAGAAAATGTATGCAAAGTGCAGGCATATACATGAACCACTGGCTGGAAGAGGTGAGGAATCTTGCTAATTATACAGATGTTCCAGCCACAAGATGAGATGCAATTTTACTGCATCATATTTACCACAGGAACACTATTTTTAATGAGTGTTCGTGCATATTCCCCTTTTGCATACATTTTGGCACAGGCTATGGCGAGTTTTGAACAGTATGTCCTGAAAAAATATTCCTGTTGGTTTGGATGGACCAAAGGTAAAAATATTGTCACTAACATTTGTAAAAATATTTGCTCTTTTTCTGCATTTTTCCACTGACATTTTCCACCCGGCTCTGTCACAGACCAGTCATCCAAGTCAGTGTGTCATTGGGCAAGTGGAGAAAGAAAACAAACTCTCTCCAGTGTTGATCAAAAAACACCCATTCACTTTGATGCTTCCTTGGCTGTTTGTCTCATCCCGAGCCGGCTGGAAAGTCAGACCCATCTGACGTTGTTAGCAACAAGAGCAAAACAAAGCCAAACCCTCCCCCCCACGCAGGCAGGGAAACATTTGCTCGCCTTTGGCTTTGTGGATCCCTCTCCCTGGAGCTCCACAGGTACAGTGGCCAGCAGAAAACCAAACAGGTCCCCCTCTTTCCCCCAGGAGATTGCTGGAATTGCCCTTAGAAACACGCGGGATTCTCCAAGCCTGTGCTGCTCCTGTTGCAGTGGCCCAAGGCACAGCAGCTCCTGCCAGGCTCCCCAGGGGCAGCTCAGCATCGTGTCACACACAGCAGAGAGCAGGACACCTTCTAGGGCCACAGAACAGCACAGGGTGCAGCTGGAAAGCCCAGGCTGAGGCTGACTAGGGATACTTTCCTTTGAATGTGAAGAGACCACGGGATATTGTGAAGGCTGGATTTTCAGTTAAGCCACAGATGAGCCTCCAGTTTGGGGTGTGATGGTGCCCTTGGTTCAAATAAACCATAGGTATGAGCAGTTCAATAGTTAATGACTTTACAAGTTCAGACAGGTTGGTATCTAACCAGCAACATCTCTTGTCTGCACTTTGTTGTCAGGGGATAATGCAGGCATAGGTCTTTCCAGGCTAACAGATGCACTCCCAGCAGACAATTCCTGAAATCCTTCCCCTCAACAGTACCAATGTTCTGACAGAGGGCAGAAGCTCTCCCTCATCCACCTCAGTTGTGGGCAGACAGACACCTAACAACCCTGGCAGGAAAAATGAGAGCTCAGCCCAACCCTTTGCAGCAGATGAGATGCCACTCACTCAGACTAATAGAAATTGTATCTCTGTCAGACAGAAGATATTATTACAGGTGTTTGTAGGAAACCAGGCTAAATGACCAAATATTCTTTTTGGCCTTTCCAAATCTATGAATTCATTGCAAGACAAGCTCTTCAAACTGGCAACATTTTCCTCATAAAAAGGCATGTACAGCATTCTTTAGGCACACCAGCATCAGCTATTTACTTTAGGCAAACAAGTACATTCATGAACAAAAATGTTCCCAATATCATACACACTGTAAAAACAGCTGATGTTTTGACTAATATAACACGTCTCAAAGCTTTCGTGTGCATAGCTTGAAGTCCAGTGACTCAGGTCCAACTTATGTTTGGCCTTCATGGCTCACCCACCCAAAAGCCTGGGAAAGTGCTTTAGGAAGCCAGGAGTGGCTTTAGAAGGGTGCTGAGCAGCAGGACATCAAGTCCCTGTTGTGGTCACCAACCCTTTCAAGGGGCAGCTGGAGGTGGCCATGGAGGAGCCGGGTGCTGCTCCAGCCTCTGTCTCCTCCCTCCTGGAAAAGGAGGGCAAACAAAGCAGATCCCAGTGCTATGGAGCACACATCACAGGGCACAAGGTGTTGAAAGTAATTTATCTTGAGCACCTATGCAGGGTACGTGGCAAAATAAAGCTTACAGATGTGAGCCTGAGAGAAATGAACTTTGGTACTTTTACACTGGAGTCATGAAATAGTTTGTGAAGCACTTTGCAAAAGAAATATCCATTACCCTCAGAGTCTCCACCTCTGCAAGCAATGACCAAAGCAAGAATTTCAAAGGGATTTAAGTGCAGAAGAGACACACAGGTATGCAGGGGATTTCTAACAGCAGTTGAGCAGGTTGGATACGTAACTACTATTGTAGTTGGTAAGAACTGGCATATTTTCCAAAAGTACCTACATAGTTCTGGGAGAGCTTGTTAGTCAGGGCATCACCCTCGATTTATTAACCTGAAGCTGCAGAAAAAATGCAGGTTGTATAGCTGCCCTCAACATTAGAGCTCGATTCTGCCCTTCTGTCTGCACCTTCAGAAGCTGAAATACCTCATCCCAGAGTTGCATCTCCTATTTCATTGGACCCAGCACTCGCACTGCGGAGTGAATCCCAACCCCTTTGAAGTCGATGGGAGTTTTGTTACTGGAGAGAATAAAACCAGGTACTTGACCAGCCTTTGGTAATTGAAATGTAGTTGTTACATGTTCACTTTGTGGCCATTATGGATTTCACAGGCTTCAAAGGCAGTGAATGATTTGAATGCTCATGTTACCAGCCCTGCAGAAAAATCAGATCTCGCATGATGCATTCCTGGGTTTGACTTGCAGCTGGAATGCTTTAGCTTGTGCTTCAAACTACACCACTGCTGTGCCCAGATCAAACCTGAGCCCCTCTCCAGACCCCTTTTCCCATTCATTGGAGTCTGTTTGCATGTTGTGGGTTGAAATGTGTAATTCTAGTAACTAAGAAAGGCTTAGGCCCACCCAACCCATGAAGCAGATGTGCTTTTTTTTTTTTTTTGGAGCTTTTACAAGTACCAGTGTGATTGTTCTAGGGATGGTGCAGTACAGAAGGGAAGAGTTTGTTTAATGATGTGCCCCAGTGCTATGACAATATCTGCAACAGCATCTGGGAAGGTATTGACAATAGCTCTGATTATTTTTTTTTGGTGGCTTATCTGTAAGTCAGTTAATAACTGTGTACTGTATAATCTCTCAGCAAGTAGAAAGGGAACTTCAGCATGGAAACCCTGTAGTCTCCACGAGCAGAGCCGGATCCAGTTCTCTCCTTCAGACAATTCCTAAAAGCCACTGCAGCCTGCAAAACCTCTGACAAATCTTGAGCTTGCTAAGCAAGGCACAGCTCTTCACAGGCACTTGAGTAGCTGCAGGAGGCATTTTGCACACCCCAGTGAGTTCTTGCTCAGCTAAGTGATGCACTAATGAACAGTGATTCTATGCTGAACAGAATCAGCTTTATATGAAGTATCAGAGATATGTGTGTAACCTCAGTTCTCTCAGCACTGTTTTTACAAGAGGTTTCATGTTTAGGAAACATGTTGCATCTCAGTAACAAAGTTCCATTGCCACCTTTAATCAGCCTTTGAGA